AAAATTTCTTTACAAAAAAGGATCGGGTGGTGGGACAGAAATGGAGTGAAGAATGGAGAGGCTGTACCTTCATCTGACCTCCTCCACTTAGTACAGTACATGAAGCCCAGAATGTCCTAGAAACTTCCTTAGTACAAGCAACTCTGCACAAGGCAACCAAAGCCACACCGCTTACATGAATAGGTAGAAGGCCAGGAAAGCAAGAGTCTCACTGTACATCCTGCTTATTTTACAATTAATGAAGAACATGGGACAAGAGAAGCCACATTACCTGTATTCTTAATAAGAAAGAAAAAGGAGAGGCTCTGTGAGGTTTTTATAAGGTAGGGAGGCATATCCCACCATGTTGAGGGTTAAACTAGCAAACAAAGTTTATATCCTCAGAAGAGAGCCAAAGAACATAGCCGCTGGGCTTCTCCTGCAGCATCAGAGTAAGGAGATGTTCACTTGCTTGTGGTGTTACATATTGTGTGTGGGGTTTCTGTGACGTCTCCATAGACTGCAGCACTATGAAGTCCTGTTTTTAAGAGAATCACATTTCCATCCTGGACTCCTGTGAGTTTTACCAACTTCTAAACTGAGTACTGCTTTGGCATGGTTTTCTCCTCAGTTGACATATGAATGAGTCCGACTGCCTGGAACAGGAATGCTACCCCCTTACTTCCCCAGACCTCTGAGTTTGTCTTCCTAGGAATGAGCTTAGGTTGTAGCCTCTCCTGGAAGAAGGAGGATGGACCTCGGAACTCCTCTTAGAAAGAGAAGATTCTGTCTCAACTATTCCCATTCAACTCAACTGGGGAATGGGAAAATATTGGAGACAAAGGAGAGAACTCATTATTCGGCTGCCACAGGAAGACATGACCTACACACTGCCACTCAGGAACACTTCTTTTTGAGTGCTCTAGTGGAGGGCCACATCCAGATGTTATATAGCTGCCTCTAGAGGGTAACCCCAGAAGCTCCCACCTTGGCAGCCTGGTGACATGCTCCCAAGGCTGTTCCCTGGGACCAATACCTGTGCTTATACTCCATTCTTTTCATGACAGAAAGCTTATGAAAATAAGCTTTAACTTTAATAATAAAATACTAAAGTTTTCTAATAATTTCCTTCAAAAAATAAAACATCTAAATAGGCCCTAAAAATAATAAAATAGTTTCTAAAAATAGGCCCTATTTTATTTTTTAAGTAACTTAATGTAAAACCTCAGTATTTTATTATTAAAAATAAATTTCTGAGCAAAGTAGCAGGATACAAAGTCAACATACAAAAATTAGCTCCATTTCTATACAATAATAATTAATCTGAAAAGAAAAATTTAAAAATTCAATTTACAATCACATCAAAAAGAATAAGACTTTTATGAATTAACTTACCAAGTTGGTAAAAGATTTGTACAATAAAAACTTCAAAACATTGCCAAAATAAATTAAAGAAGGTATAAATAAACAGAAATACATCCCATGTTCAGGGATTAGACATGTAAAAATGACTCACTTTATGATTATATTGTAAAAGTCAAACACAATTTTATAAAAAAAAAAAAAACTACACTAAAAAAATTGCAAATTCAATGCAATCGCTATCAAAATCCTATTTTTTTTTTCTTTGCAGAAATAGAAAGGCCCATTCTAAAATTCATATGGGATCTTAAAAGAGCCTGAAAATAGACAAGGAAATCCCAAAAAATAAGAACAAAGCTGTATGACTCACACTTTCTGATTTTAAAACTTACTACAGAGTTACAGTAATCAAAACAGTGTGGTACTAGCATAAAGACAGACATACAAACCAATGGAATAAAATAAATAGCACAGAAATAAACTCTCACATATATGGTTAAATGATTTTTGACAAGGATGTCAAGACCGTTCAATGGGAAAAGGACAGTCTTTTCAACAAATGGTGCTGGGAAAACAGGATATCCACATAAAAAAGGATGAAGCTGGACTCTTACCTAACAGAAATGTTAACTCAAAATGGATCAAAAACATGAATGTAAAACCTAAAATCATAAAACTCTTAAAACAAAGGGCACAATCTTTACAATATTGGCTTTGGCAGGGATTTCCTGGATAGAACACCACTAGCATAGACAAAAAGAGAAAATAGATAAATTGGATATCATTAAAATTGAAAACTTTTGTATATAAAGACACTATCAAGAAAGTGAAAAGACAACCCATAGAATGGGAGAAAATATTTGCAGATTATATATCTCATCAAGGATTAGTATCCAGAATATATAGAGAATTTCTGAAACCTAACAATAGTAAACAACCCAATTCAAAAATGGGCAAAGTACTTGAATAGACATTTTTCCAAAGAAGATGTATGCATGAACAATAAGCACATGAAACAATGCTCAACATCACTAATGATTATAGAAATGTAAATCAAAACTAGAATGAGATATCACTTCAGACCCATATGGATGGCTACTATTCAAAAAAAGGAAAAGGCTACCAGACATACAAAGAGGAGCTGGTACCATTCCTTCTGAAACTATTCCAAATAATCCAAAAAGAAGGAATCTTTCCCAAATCATTTTATGAGACCAACATCATCCTGATACCAAAACCCGGCAGAGACTCAACAAGAAAAGAAAACTTCGGGCCAATATCTATGCTGAACATAGATGCAAAAATCTTCAATAAAATACTGGCAAGCAGATTGCAACAGCACATCAAAAAGCTTATTCACCATGATCAAGTAGGAGTCATCCCGGGGATGCAGGGCTGGTTCAACATACGCAAGTCCATAAACGTAATTCACCACATAAACAGAACCAAAGACAAAAACCACATGATTATCTCAATTGATACAGAGAACACCTTTGACAAAATTCAACAGCCCTTTATGTGAAAAAAGAAAAAGAAAATTAAAAGTTTGGTGAGGACATGGATAAACTGGAATCTATGGGCACTGTTGGTCGAATGTAAAACGATATACTCACATGGGTAACAATATGGCGGTTCCTCAAAAAATTGAAAATAGAATTGCCATATGATACAGCAATTTCCCTTCTGAGTAAATATTCCCCTCAAACTGAAAACAGAATCTTGAAGAGATATTATTGTATACTCACAATCATAGCAGCATGATTTACAATAGGTAAAACATGGAAGCAACCCCAAAGTTCATCAGTGTATGAATGGATAAGCAAAATGTGAATAAAAGTGAAATTATTCAGTCTTAAAAAGAAAGGAAATTTTGACACATGCTGTAACATAGATGAACCACGAGGACATTGAGCTAAGTGAAATAAGCCAGCCAAAACCAAAAAAATGCTCTAATGCTCTATAATTCTGCTTAAATGTAGTCAAAATCATAGAAACAGACAATAGAATTGTAGTTGCCAGGGGTTAGGGAAAGTGGATAATGGGGAGTTATGGTTTAACAGGTATAGAGTTTTTGTTTTACAAAATGAAAAAGAGTTCTGGAGATAGATGGTGGTGATGGCTGCACAACATGATGAACGTATCAAATATCAATGGCCCGTATGCTTTAAAATGGTTAATACATGTCATATTTTGTGTATTTCACCACAATAAAAAAAACCCTGGGAAATAAATATATAAATAAGCGTTTCATGATACAGCTCTCAAGTGAAATGACAGCCTGGGTCTGGGAGAGAGACTGAAGAATTGCTTCTAGTGAAGACATGTTCTTGGGAAGCAGGAGGTAGTAGGTCAACCACTCCGGTTCTGCCACTCTGCTTGTGCAGACCTGGGCTAAGCAGGCCTCCACACCCTGTCATCTAAGTTGCCATATGATCCAGCAATTTTGTTATGAAACCACCCTGTTTGTGGTACAGGAGCTGGGATGTGGCAGATGGTGGTAGGGCCTAACATGAAAAGGTATCCTCTGCTTTGCTGCTCCAAATGTGGCTTCTGACCAGCAAGTTTGGCAAGATTGGCATCACCTGGAGGCTGGTTGGACCGGCAGGCTCTCTGGCCTCACCCCATTCTTGCAGAATCAGAATCTGCATTTTAATAAGATTCGCAGTGATGCATATGCACTTTGAAGTTCAGGGAGCATTGCCTCCATTAAATAACAAATTATACATTAGTCTCCACTCAAGCATCCCTCCCCATGACTACAAAACTCTTAAATCAATTAGTATTTTCTCTCGGCATCAAATACACTGATGCAGCATGAAACAAATCTGCATCAGAGTGCATTTGCAAACCTTGCAAAAAATGCAAGATTTCATAGAATCAATAGATGTGGTATTAGGGATCTGCTCAAATCATACACATAGCATAGACAAGCAAGAAACTGGCAGATTTAGACCCATTACCAAATGAAAAGGAGCTAATCTACAGGCATGATGGCATTCCTTCAAAAGAGAATGATTTGAATATCAAAGAATTAAGAGAGGCCCTTGGGAAAAAATGATTAGACCTATGAATATCTTTGTAAAAATGACCCACTTTATGATTATACTGTAAAAGTCAAATACAATTTTATTAAAAAGAAAAACAAAAACCGAAAAAACAACCACCACTATGCTCAAAAAAATTCAACACTTCCCTTAATCTTTAATCATTCTGACAAAGCACATTGTATAATTATAATTTAGGTTGCATTACATAAAATATAATGCATTTTCATAAGTTTATTACCATTTTAAAAGATGAAGTCTAATTAAAACTTTTTCTCAGTATTTATCATGATGTTTGGCCCCTGTTCAAAGTGGATTCATGCTAAGTGTACTTTCATAGTTCCAGCTTTTCTCCAACAATAAGACCTGCTGAACTGGAATCCTTACTATTGCATGTGCATTTTTCTTTTTATCATATGGCACTTCTTTTTGGTACTTATGATCAAATTGAGTATCAATTATAAGACAGTTAATACCAACTCACTCCACAACTCAGTGAAGAATTCTTTTAGTGTCCCACTTCCTGGTTGGATGTTTCAGCCCATTGTACTACCACAGAAGGGGGTTTATCTCTAGAGTGACAGCCATAGCAGCTGATATCTTTTCAATAATTACCTTATCAACCATGAGGAAGTTCTCCAAGGTCTCTCCATTGTCGCAGGTGACATCACCAACCTCTCTTACTGCTCTGGGCAGGATTTCTTGCACCTCCTGGGCAATCATTCCTATAACAAAACACTCCAACAGGTTTAATCTTCAAAGAAAGATCTTTCTGGAGAAAATCCTCACTAAGTTTTGCTTTGATCTACAATATATCTGTAGCAAAGAAGGAATTTGGAGCCAAGAACCACTATAGAATTAAAAGTGGGAGTGGTTTTTTTTTTTTCTTTTCGAGACTCTGGGCCAAATGTTGGAAAGGGGGAGATAAGTGCCTTAAAATCCCTGTCCATACAAGGAAAGGTGGGCCATTAGCTTGATTTCCTTTCTTTTCCCATATGAAGCCTTTGTCCCTAAAATACTTCTTCCTTCTTTAGGTTTCTTGGATTGGAGTATAAACATCACTTTGCTTACCTCCTCTCTTATCTAGATCCACTTACCCTGCCACCTTCTCCCTCCATCTCCCCACTGCCCAATGCTGGTCCTCATATAGGTTGAGCTGCCATCTGCCCTGAACCCTCAGCCCATGAGCAAGAGGACTCCAGTGAAAAAAACTATATATTCAACCCACTCCACCAGTACAGTACCTTGGGGTGGAGGAGTGGAGTGCTGAATAAAAAATGACACAGAAATTCTTTCACCTTTCCTGTTCTAGTGACTATGAGTTTCACAGAGCACAGGTTAGATCAACATAATGTTGTCAAATGCCATAGTACAGAACCTCAAAATAAAAAGGAAATTAAAATTTTAACAGTTGACAATACAAAATGAAAAGGGGAATGTGTGTGTGTACCTGTTTGATGGGCGGTGTTTATTCCCATTGCAGATGCAAATTCAGGTTTATAGTCATATTCAACAATTCTCATTTGGGCTATTCTTTTCAGCTGTTCAGTTGTGTCAACCTAATTTAATTAAAGAAGAGCAGATTTTACTAGCACAGATATTTGCTATTCAAATTCATGCCCAGAGTGACCCAGAGACATCACTGAATTGCTTTTGGACATTTTGCTGGAGATAATTTCTTCAAGTGGATTGCAAGCCACGATTACCCAACTGCTGGCCCTTCAGGACCCAGCCATCCCCCTCCTCCTGGACACCCCTCCCTCACACCATCACAGGCAGCTGGGTATCTTCTACCTGCAGTCACTGCTCTTACATAGTTAAAAGCTGTCCCAACTGTCACTACGGGGTTCCAGCAAAATGGTAACAGTCAAGACAGTACAGTGAAATTTCCCTAAAGCTAAATGTGTTCGATCCAAAGGAGTCCTCTTTAAATTTAGAGATTTTATAAATGAATTGATGGTAATGGCAGAATCTATTTTTTTAATGTCTTTATCTGACAAGTAAAAAGTTGGCAGCCCTTTGTGGGAACCCTAAATTTTCTTTTGAACCATAATAAGATCGTGAAACCAGTGGTGTCTTGGCAGTTAAAAACAAACTTCCTGGGCATTCATCCATGTGATAGAGGAAGCAAAAATGCTTTTTGTTGTTGTTGTTTTAAGAAAACCACCGTCATGGTCCTCAGCTCCTCCCTTGACAGGAGAGCCCCTCCACCAACGTTTAGGATTCTCAGCCCTTACTAGCTGGGCTGGTTGTGAAAGATGGTGGCTAAACCATGAGTTTTATTTCAGGAAGCTATTCCAGAGCATAATTCTGAGCTTCCTGCTATCATTCATTCTTCATGTTACTCAACTAACATTTACCAATCACCTCCAACATATCATGCACTGCTAAGTGCCGGGACTTAAAAAGTAATTGCCTTGAGCTGGAGGCCATTAACCTTAGCAAACTAACACAGGAACAGAAAACCAAGTACTGCATGTTCTCACTTATAAGTGAGAGCTAAATGATGAAAACACATGGACACAGAGAGGGGAGCAACACACACCGGGGCCTTTTGGAAGGTGGAGGGTAGAGGGTAGGAGGAGGGAGAGGATCAGGGAAAATAACTAATGGGTACGAGGCTTAATATCTGGGTGATGAAGCAATCTGTACAACAAACCCCAATGACACAAGTTTACCTATGTAACAAACCTGCACTTGTACCCCTGAACTTAAAAGTTAAGAAAAATCACCTTTTAAAAGCTTATGGTCTAGACAGGAAGAAACACCTGGTATATACATACATAATCATATATGATTTTATTACAATATGAGAAACACAGGGCAATGGTGGAATTACACACAGAGAATCATTACAGCTCTGAGGAAAGGTGCCTAAAATATTCTTAGGGAAATATAAAGGAAGGATTCCTAGAGAGGATGAAGCCCAAGCAAGATCTTGGCTTATTCCAGTTCCTCAGACAAACTCTGCTCCTTTCACTTGCAAGCCTTTGCTTACGCTGTTTTCCCAGACTCAAAAGTTTCCTTCCAGCCGGGCGCAGTGGCTCATGCCTGTAATCCCAGTACTTTGGGAGGCCGAGGCAGGTGGATCACGAGGTCAAGAGATCGAGACCATCCTGGTCAACATGGTGAAACCCTGTTTCTACTAAAAATACAAAAAATCAGCTGGGCATGGTGGCGTGTGCCTGTAATCCCAGCTACTCAGGAGGCTGAGGCAGGAGAATTGCCTGAACCCAGGAGGCGGAGGTTGCGGTGAGCTGAGATCGCGCCATTGCACTCCAGTCTGGGTAACAAGACCGAAACTCCGTCTCAAAAAAAAAAAAAAAGTTTCCTTCCCACTCCCCTACCTTCTCCTTCTGCAATGTAAGCACTGTTCCTCAGAGAAGGTTCTCTTGACCTCCAAGTCTAGGCAAGGTTCCTCTTCTTTCTGTGCTCATAGCACCTGTTCACCTTCAGAGCATGCATCACAATTACCACAAGACAACTAATTGTGTCACCTTCATTCTTAGTCTTCCCCTACATAACATATACTCCGTGAGCATGAGGACATGTTTAAGGTCATGGTTCATCACCACGTCACCAGTTTCTAGTATAATTCCTTGCATCTTGTAGGTGCTCAACTAATAATCATTAAGTACACTACTAACCTTAAGATAAGAGTTAGGGAAAGATGTGAGGTAAGAAGGGAGGGAGAAAGGATGAGAGTAAGGCATGAATTCTAAGCAGAGAGAACGCCATGAACCAAGGCCTGAGGCAGCAAATGCCCTGTATGATACCTGCACAACCAAGGCAGAGTTTGGCATCACTGGACTAGAATGGTTAAGGCCAGAGCAGGGAGGGCCTTGCAAGTCATACTGGGAAGGAACGGTTACAATCTCATTTTGCCCTGTTCATGTATCTATCACTGTGAGTACCTTCACTCGGTCACCAAGTATTTATTGAGTAGCTACTATGTGCCAGATGCTCTCCTAAGCATTGGAGATTCAATGAATGTTTCTTACTTGGAGCTTAAATTTTAGTAAAAGTCATTCTTGGGTCTTATTCATCTCAGGACCTGCACAGTACCGAGCAAAGTGTCTGACATGTAATAGGCACCCAAAATTTTTGATGGAAAAAAAAGAAGAAATAAAAGAACGAAGGTATTGAAATGGGAGGACAATCCCTGACACGAACGGAACTGAAGCGAGAGGGTCAATCAGGAGCCAGTCTGGACTGGCCTCGCACTGCCTAGGCCCTACCCAGTTCCTCGGCCAGCTCTGGTTAGCATGTGCTCTTAAAGAATAAGAATTTGTAGCCAGGCGTGGTGGCTCATGACTGTAATCCCAGCACTTTGGGAGGCCGAGGCAGGTGGATCACAAGTCAGGAGTTTGAGACCAGCCTGACCAATATGGTGAAATCCCATCTCTACCAAAAACACAAAAAAATACATAGTTCCCTGGCAGTCCTCTGCCCACTTCCTATATCCTCCTGGTTCCTGCCCCACCTGCAGGGACCCCACTAAAGAAGGAAGCAGAGGCAGTGTTGGCTCCTTTGCTGCAGATGAAAAGCAGAGGAGAAGGTGCCCTCATGCAGGCTGTCCAGGCTACAGAGAGGGAAGTGGTCCCTGGTTTCTAAACTGGATCCTTGAATGCATTTTCGCCAAGACATACTGCTAGACATAGCATTAGGTCCTCTAGTACTACTACCATCCTCTAGACAGATTTTCGGCCAAGAAAAATTTTAAGGGTTAACTTAGAGAACTAAACATTTTAAATGGCAAGACTTGTCAAACAAACTGCTCTTCCAATTTCTGAATTTATAGGCTTCTCAAAGCCAAATATAAACAGCAGCCTGTATTGAGTGATCCCTATGTGTACACATGGACCAGGGAAAACAACTGAGGCGAAGGCTGTGCCTTCTCTGAATCCTCCCCGGGACCCTACAGAGGCCAGCGCTTACTGCTGTACCTTGCTCTTCAATGCCTGCTGAGTAAGAAACTGAAAACTGGATTCGGGTGTCTACTTTGACCTTGCCCACAGCAGTTATTGAAAGTTTGGACCATGAATGCAAATCGCCATCAGCATCATGCTGCCTCACACCCAAGGTTTCTACAATATATCACTAGCTCAAGAATTGAAGCACAGAGAACACCTTCCAGTCCGTGGGACTCAGTTTGTCCAGGGAAGGCTCTCTGTCATCTGGTGATGGCCCGTAGCCTAGGCACAGTCTGGAACAGGAGCAGCTTAAATGACACCTGCTCACCCTGAGCAGAGGAACTTCTGCATTTGGCTCCTGGCCCTGAGGGAGACTTTGCATGTTTGACTTTCTTGAGCTTTTCTCATGTCTACTTTTGTCTTCCACTAGCACACGGGTGGTGCGGTTAGGAGACAATCAAAACAGCCTTTGAGCATTTCATCTTCACTGATTTTCTTTTCTGGCTGGAACTTTTAAATATCTTGCTGCCTTTTTTCAGCCTTCACCACAGAATTTGACTGATGCATTCAACTCTCAACTTCCTCATGTTTTTGGCCATTGACACTGACGTTCTTCATGTGCCTCTGGTGCCTTTCCCCCCTAGTTTTGCTCAGTTTCCACTGTCAGAGCTGCATTTCCTTCCGCAGTCTGCAGCCACATCAGCAGACATGATGCCATTGGCTGGGAAAGTTAAGTTGCTCCTCTGCCCAGGACCTCAGTTGCAGAGGTTTCAGTCATATCTGCATCATCATCTCCATATCTTGGATCTGTGTCCTTGTGAGCATCAAAGATCTCCCCCACCAGTACTTTGTAGATAATCATGTGCTTAATATCCACAAAGCAATCTGTGTTTCCTGAGTGAGGAAACACATAGCCAGGGCAAAGCAGCAACCTATATCCATTTTCCCCAATTGTAGTATTAGGCAACATATTTGACCACTGTATTTTGTAGAAGCTCATCCAACCAGAAGCCAGCTCGGGTTAGCATGCACTCTTAAAGAATAAGAAATTACAGCCAGGCGTGGTGGCTCATGCCTGTAATCCCAGCACTTTGGGAGGCCAAGGCGGGTAGATCACGGGTCAGGAGTTTGAGACCAGCCTGACCAATATGGTGAAGTCCTGTCTCTACTAAAAATACAAAAAAATTAGTCATGCATGGTGGCACATGCCTATAGTCCCAGCTACTTGGGAGGCTGAGGCAGAAAAACCACTTGAACCTGGGAGGTGGAGGTTGCAGTGAACTGAGATCGCATCACTGTACTCCAGTCTGGGCAACAGAACAAGATTCCATCTCAAAAAAAGGATAAGAAATTGCTTCCAGTCCTAGGTGTGCCATCAAATCGACCAAGGGTCAGATTCCCAGAGTATTTGAAAGAAAGGCTCTCTTTTTAAAAGTTGCAAAAATTAAGACACAAAGAGGTGAAGATGAAATTCACAAATCAACATTACCATCATCTCCCTCATCTCAGTAATAAATAGTAGATTGGGGCAGACAAGATTTCTAGGAATATATATCTCAAAAATGTACATAGATCTATTAATTAATATGAAATAATTTAGTAAATGTCATCTAATTTTCATTTTGTATAAATAGAAAATAACATCTATTTGTTTAGACTTGTCTGGCTAAAAAAACACTTTACATATATGAGCTTAGAAGAATCTCTTAACCTGGGTAGAACAAATAAGAGCATTCCCTGTTCATGGACAGCAAAACAGAGTGACAGATCACCTCTGGACCAAAGTTCCTGGGCTGGTGGTTGCCGGAGTCAGGACTAAACTCAGTCTTCTAACCACGGGCCAGGATTTTATTTTTATTCTATTATGCTGCTGTGAGCAGGAAGGGGATACAGAAATTTCACATTTAGAGCCTGGATTGAAGTGACATTTCATCTATACAGAGAAGGCTTTTTAGAAGGGATGTGAGAAGTTCTCCGGAAGCTTGTTCTTTTAAGATACTATTTTCTTCAAACCAAGGAGCAATATTTGAAGACGTTTGGTAAACGAAGTTTTGTGTTTAGCCTGGTGGTAGCAGGAAAGGTTGTACAGGACTTTTCTCACTCGTTATATTCAATTTACATTTTAATAAGACTTGGTAGTAAATTGTATAGCCAATTGCAAGGATAAATTTGAGTTGGCATGATCTGAAATGCAGACAGATGATCTCTCTCTAAAGTTCAAAGGCACAATATCTAGGACCAATATCTGGAAATGTATGTGAGAACTCTCAGTCTCTGCATTCCCCTGGCCAGTAGGTCACAGGTCTTCTATCATGAACCGCAACTTCACAATCAGTATAAAAGTCTACAATTACAACCATTCTTTGGAATCCTCTAAGCAAAGGAGGACATTCCTTGACTAGTTTAGAAAAACCAGTGCAGATTTGCACTGAGAAAGGAATGCAGTCTGGAAGAAGGGCTAATGGTGAACAGATTAGGACTCCTATTAGCTTAAAAGGAATAAGGAAGGGAGGGAGAAGGAACTTTTAGAACACAGCCTCGCAAATGCTGTCAAGAGTAGTAGAGTGAGATGACGGGGAAGTGGCAGAAGGAATGAATGGAAAATCATTAAATGGTAGAAGAGCTGGAATGAGGTGTTAATAGCTGGCTAATGGACTGGAATCTTAATCCTCATCTCTATGGGGTACATAGAGTTGTAGCTTTCCAAGGTGATTCAGTTCAACTGGTTAAAAAATTAAAAAGAGCCAAGGGTGTCAGGCAGGCAGGCACCATTTTCATCTTATAGATGAAGACACTGAGTTCAGGAAGATTAAGCATTTTAGTGAGGGTCACAATGCTGGGGAGAGCCCAGAGCGGAGGAGCCCTCTCCTGATGTCTAGGGCTTTGTTCTGCTTTTCTCTCCACAGAGGGAAAAGGTCTTCACCCAGAACTCTTGGTGATGAACTGACCGAGTAAGGGATAAGGAGGAGGAACTTTTCAAGAGTTCCTCAGAGGAAGATGACGCCTGGGGAAGATAATGGCCAGGAGGATTGGTGCCAGGGACCTAGGAGGAAGAGGCTAGACACGTCCAAGAAAAATGTGATCAGGAACTGGACTGAGACAGTGTTCGGAAGATGAGTGGGAAGATGGAAAGGAAAAGGCAAGCTCTGGAAGCAAAGTGTGGAAGGAAGGGCAATGGCCTGTGGAAGATAACTGAGACTTGCTGCTTGTGACGCCAATGACATGTTGTCCTTGCCCACTGCTCCTGTCGGGTAAATCCATTCTCTCAGGTAGGAACTGCTTTACAATTTCAGCAGAGATGCCCAGCAGCTCAGTCATCACGCTTAAGCAGTGTGTTCGTCTCACACCAGTGGGTGACATGCAAAGATGTGGGGTGCAAGGTGTGGCAGAGGCCAGGAGCACCCTGCACATCCGACCGGGGTGTCAGAGGAGGGGCCCAGGGCCTGACTCTGTACTCACCTCCTGGATATTCTGCTTTGCCCGTCTGTCAGAGGGATGCATGATGGTCCCCATCACTTTCATGTTGCCACAGACAACCAGGGCTTCGTCCGGCGCATCTGTGTTGATTCCTACTCGACTGTGACAGACAACAGATTCTGGAACCTGTCCTCGCTGCCACAGTGCATCATTGTCATTTTCAAATTGCCCAGGGTTAGAGGCCTGGAAAAATACATAAATACATTATAATTAAAGTTACAGTAACAGGAATACATGATCATGTTAGTGTTCAGAGCAAAGGCAAACTGAGTATTATCTAAATATTTTACAAGAGAATCCTGTATTGAGTGACATATTCAAGTAACTCTGGGGCCCAGGAGACCCAGGGAGGTTCCCTAACCACTCTGCCTCCCCACTAGCAGGAGCTCTGTATGCCATGATTTGAAACATACATCTCTATTGCATCTATCTGGAATTAAGAATGTAATCAATTATATTAGGTGGGTGATAAAGAAGAAAACTAAAAATGGCTATCGTTTCAGGAATCATCATCATCATCATCATCATTTAAAATCAAAACATTACATCAGAAAATATTACAGGCGTACCAAAGTCAGATAAATAAATATACCTTTTATAGTCTCAAAATGCTTTTATATTTATGATTTCATATACAAGTGACAAGCAAATGATAAGCAAATATATTTAATATACCTCAACTATTCCCTAACACAGAGGATAAGGAAGAATAATAACAGCTATATTTGTTGTGCGATAATTCACAGTACAATTCTATGATCTCATAGAATTGTATAATTGTCCTCATTTTATTGACACTGACACCCTGAAAAGAGAAATAAATTGCCCAAAGCCACAAAGCTAATAAATTCTGGAGCTGGAACTATAAGTCCTCTGATTATTAAATAGTGATTTGCCTATTTCATGCTATTGCTTAGAAGTAGTCCTGGCAATCTTCAAAGAAAATCCAAGTGAAACCATTGGACTAGACAAAGTTCTGGAGATTTTACTCGTAAATAAAATTATTTGCCAAAGAATGTTCCACTGCACTGCCTTCCTTCCTCCCTGCTTCCCTGCAGCCACTGGATTGATTCCCAAATATTTTAAAGTCGGCATCTCTAAATCCCTCAAAATCCTCACGACAAAATTAATTTGTTTTTAAAATTACGATGTATTTTCATGATTGAGACAGGTTGTCACAACTTTAGGTAAACAGTTGTGATCCTGATTACCTAAAAAGTCAGTGCTAATACTTGACTTTTTGCCTTTCTGGTGCTATATGATACATTGCAAGCTCAGCACCTGAATATGCAGACTTTCTCCGAGGACTACTCAGGAAACCAGTAACAATGGTTTCCTCAAGGATGGAGTCTGGGAGGGGGAGAAACAGTGGTGAAAGGGAGATTCACCTTTCACTGTATACTCTCTTAATATTGAGTGTTTTGCCATATGCATTTGTTACAATTTTTAAAATAATGAAAAGGAAACACAAAGTTTATTTTTTAGTTTGGGTTCACTTAAATAACTTTTTGATGACTTCAATTTCCTAATTCAATCCCAAGTGTCTGAACGCTGAGCTGCTTGGAAGACTCAACCATTGACACTGACGGACAAAAGCAGTGAAAGAGGCCGGGTGTGGTGGCTCACACCTGTAATCCCAGCACTTTGGGAGGCTGAGGTGTGTGGATCCCTTGAGGTCAGGAGTTCAAGATCAGCCTGGCCAATATGGTAAAACCCCCATCTCTACTAAAAATACAAAAATTAGCCATGTGTGGTGGCATGCTCTTGTAGTCTCAGCTACTTGGGAGGCTGGGGCAGGAGAATCACTTTAACCTGGGAGGCAGAGGTTGCAATGATCTGAGATCAGGCCACCGCACTCCAGCCTAGGCGACAGAGCAAGGCTCCATCTCAAAAAAAAAAAAAAAAAAAAAAAAAAAAAAAAAAAAGCGGTGAAAGAATGTAATATAAAGTAATGGGGTGAGAGGCTAGCGGGCAGTGGGGAACGAATATAAAGTAATAACATTGAAGATTAGTTTTGTAAATTTATGTGAACAAAGGGCTTTTCTGGAAGGTCCCTAGAGCCCCTTGACTGTGAATGGCAAATTGGCTTTGACTCAAATCCTTTAGAGCACGCAATCAACTAAATCCAAAGGTATGCCATGTAAGATGGTGACGTATTTTTCTCTAATTTGAAGATAATGAGCCATTTCAAGGAAACAAAATAAGACAGTGATGGATTTTTCTGTAATGAGCTTTGGGATAGTTATTTTCATGTTGGTAACTTGATACTGAAACAGCAGATATAAGTGGATTTAATTTTTTGGAACAATTGTAACATTCTCACTTAGCTTTCATCAGATGAAAACTCAGATCCCTAAAATACGTTCACATTATTTTGGAAAGGGCCACAGATTCACAACGTTCTAAATATATAGCCCTAGGGAGAATTCCTCATCAGTAACGGAAATGTTCTCATAAGATCTGAGAACTTATGTCTCTTCTCTGGAATCTACAACGTTCACATGTCAAAGCAAGCTGAAATATACTACTTCTTTCTGGAATTATGAGTTTGTATTCACACGTGACCCAATAGTGGCTTATGGATATCAAACACCAAAATAAATGAATTAAAATGTCTAAAATACTTTTATTTGTCTCATAGCCTTTTATTTAGGGAAGAGACCTGAGCATTCTAGTCTATGTTGTAACACAAACTAGCTGTGTGACCTTGGGGCAGTCCCTTCATCTTTCTGTACTGTGTCCTCCTCTGATAAATAATCATGTCTCCTTTACCCACCTACAAGGGTTATTGTGGGATTAACTGAAATCATGTGTGCACGAACAGTTTGCAAAAATGAATATGAAAAGCCTCAAATTTATTCTCAACACACTCTCCTGGACACAGTAGCAGTTATTTAACCTCTAGTTACTTCATCTGCTCTCCTCAGCAACACACCTACAGAGTTGCACGATTCCAGGGGACGCCTTTCACTAAAAAATGCAATGTAAATGGCGCCCCCTGCAGGTCACTGGGATAGAAAACAGCATCAGCAGTAATTTGAGGCCTACTCTTTTTTTTTTTTTTTTTTTACTTTTTTTTTTTTTATTGTATTTTAGGTTTTGGGGTACATGTGATGAACATGCAAGATTGTTGCATAGGTAAACACTTGGCAGTGTGGTTTGCTGCCTTCCGTCCCCTCACCTGTATCTGTCATTTCTCCCCATGCTATCTCTTCCCACCTCCCCACCCCCAGCGCCTCCCCCATTTCCCCCCAACGGACCCCTAGTGTGTAGTGTTCCCCTCCCTGTGTCCATGTGTTCTCATTGTTCAACACGCACCTATGAGTGAGAATATACGGTGTTTGATTTTCTGCTCTTGTGTCAGTTTGCTGAGAATGATGGTTTCCAGGTTCATCCATGTCCCTACTAAAGGACGTGAACTCATCGTTTTTGATGGCTGCGTAATATTCCATGGTGTATATGTACCACATTTTCCCTATCCAGTCTATCATCGTTGGGCATTTGGGTTGGTTCCAGGTCTTTGCTATTGTAAACAGTGCTGCAATGAACATTCGTGTGCACGTGTCCTTGTAGTAGAATGATTTATAATCCTTTGGATATATACCCGGTAATGGGATTGCTGGGTCAAATGGGATTTCTATTTTTAGGTCCTTGAGGAATCGCCACACTGTCTTCCACAATGGTTGAATTAATTTACATTCCCACCAACAGTGTAAAAGTGTTCCTATTTCTCCACATCCTCTCCAGCATCTGTTGTTTCCCGATTTTTTAATGATCGCCATTCTAATTGATGTGAGATGGTATCTCAATGTGGTTTTGATTTGCATTTCTCTGATGACCAGTGACGATGAGCATTTTTTCATATGTTTGTTGGCCTCCTGTATGTCTTCTTTTGTAAAGTATCTGTTCATATCCTTCGCCCATTTTTGAATGGGCTTGTTTGTTTTTTTCTTGTAGATCTGCTTTAGTTCTTTGTAAATTCTGGATATCAGCCCCTTGTCAGATGGGTAGGCTGCAAAAATTTTTTCCCATTCTGTTGGTTGCCGATTCACTCTACTGACTGTTTCTTTTGCCGTGCAGAAGCTGTGGAGTTTGATTAGGTCCCATTTGTCTATTTTGGCTTTTGTTGCCATTGCTTTTGGCGTTTTGGTCATGAAGTCCTTGCCTACACCTATGTCCTGAATGGTTTTGCCTAGATTTTCTTCTAAGGTTTTTATGGTATTAGGTCTGATGTTTAAGTCTTTAATCCATCTGGAGTTAATTTTGGTGTAAGGTGTCAGGAAGGGGTCCTGTTTCTGCTTTCTGCACATGGCTAGCCAGTTTTCCCAACACCATTTATTAAACAGGGAGTCCTTTCCCCATTGCTTGTTTTTGTCAGGTTTGTCGAAGATCAGATGGTTGTGGGTATGTTGTATTTCCTCTGAGACCTCTGTTCTGTTCCATTGGTCTATATCTCTGTTTTGGTACCAGTACCATGCTGTTTTGATTACTGTAGCCTTGTAGTATAGTTTGAAGTCCGGTAGTGTGATGCCTCCTGCTTTGTTCTTTTTGCTTAGAATTGACTTGGCTATGCAGGCTCTCTTTTGGTTCCATATGAAGTTTAAGGTGTTTTTTTCCAGTTCTGTGAAGAAGGTCATTGGTAGCTTGATGGGAATAGCGTTGAATCTGTAAATTACTTTGGGCAGTATGGCCATTTTCACAATGTTGATTCTTCCTAACCATGAACATGGAATGTTTCTCCATCTGTTTGTATCCTCTCTTATTTCATTGAGCAATGGCTTGTAGTTCTCCTTGAAGAGGTCCTTTACGTTCCTTGTTAGTTGTATTCCTAGGTACTTTATTCTCTTTGTGGCAATTGTGAGTGGCAGTTCATTCTTGATTTGGCTCTCTTGAAGTCTATTACTGGTGTATAGGAATGCTTGTGATTTTTGCACGTTGATTTTGTATCCTGAGACTTTGCTGAAGTTGTTTATCAGTTTCAGGAGATTTTGGGCTGAGATGATGGGGTCTTCCAAATATACAATCATGTCCTCTGCAAATAGAGACAATTTGATTTCCTCCTTTCTGATTTGGATACCCTTTATTTCTTTTTCTTGCCTGATTGCTCTGGCTAGAACTTCCAGTACTATATTGAATAGGAGTGGTGAGAGAGGGCACCCTTGTCTAGTGCCAGATTTCAAAGG